TGCTTTTCCATTGACTTTCCAAACAGAATTGCTTCTTTCACAGCAGAAGCTCTTTGTTTTTTTAAAGTATGAAGAAAGTGTTATTTCAGTATTTACCCATGTAATTTTTCTAGCTTGTTTCTCTAATAGTCAGAGATGGTATATGTGCAAAAGTAATCTGGTAAGAAACACACTTTGCACTGTGTAATTTTCTATGTAGAAATGCTTTCTCCAGGTCCATTACCAAGGCTAAAAGCACTATCAAAATTATTCATATATGTAACACATTTCAGTTTGGGTTTAAGTTCTATTTCATCCTGCAGTTCCCAGAACATGCATCAATTGGAAAGAAAATTATTCTTCTCTTTTCCAGGTCTCAAAGTACCCTTCGGAAGCCTGACATGGCCTTGTGGAAGAGATGGTCTTCCTTGGCCTCAAGGTGAGAAAGGAGAAAAAGCGGATTATTGGACAACCATATGAAAAGCTGATGTCCATGTAATGTTCTGACAGTCAACTGAACTCTCTTTATTGAGTCAGATGTGTTGGGTTTTACTGACTGTGAAAGCCAATAAGAGTTGCAACATTGCAACTTGGAGAGAAGGAGATGCAGCAATATTTTGTGCTTCTACATTCCCGTTTTAGTTGTGAATAACGGGAACACAATCATGGAAGCACACTAGTAACTTTATTCTACATGCAGGACCTTTGTTACCGATGGAAATTTGTATGAAAAAAGTATCTACATTTTCAGTGAGTTCCCATCTTTAGCAAGCAGTGCTGGATGGACTGTATTTCACAGAAACTATGCAGAAACCCTCCTATACCAGTGTTTATGGTTTCCATTAAAATAAGACCCCACTGTAAAAACACAAAGCATCCACTCAGCAGATTAAAAAGAAAACAATATGATGCCATAGGAACTGTTCCCTACCCAAAATGCTTATGCTTGTTCACTAACAATTATTATAATGAAACAAATTCTCTTTGGCAAAGCCACTTTCACAGACATGACAAACATAAGGCTTCAACGTAGAAAAACTCATTTACTTCTGTGCAGAGGGGAATTATCAGCATTTCAAAAGCTCAGAGGTGTTTTGTTTGTTTGCTTTAATATAGGTTAAAAACAGTGTGAAAAAATACTGGAAAAATATTTATTTTACACTAGATGATGTTAAAAATACATTATGTGCCAGTTAGCTTTGGAATATGATTAGTTTTATCAAAGGAATTGTTCCTATCAGCAAAGCCAAGCTTTGCTTGAATGTATAACTTCCTTTTAATCTGTGTAGGTCTATCTGATTCTCCGGACACTGAACTCTACAGTTTGAAACACCGACTCTCCAGACTTGAAGGCGGTAATTTTTCCCATTTTTACTTTTTCAGCTCACAGTCAATTTTAAATGCAATAGGCAAAATTAATTATAAAATCATGACTTTCAGGAAAGAAATCACACATCAAAATGGTACTGCATCACAGAACTCCATAATCTGATCCAAGGGAGGGGAGATCAGAGCTCATTTCCCCCAAATTTTATTTATTAAAAAAAATATTCTAATTGATGTTGAACTTTTCACATGGATTCATGGGAACTCCTCAGACTTGTACCACATTGCCAGCATTTTTATCTATCAGCAAGCAGATTGTTAAAGGTGGTAAACTGTTTTGTACTGAGAAGGAATTCACAAGAGTTATAATTTCTCTGTTTCACTTGCTCGAATTTGAAGCAAACTGATTCTCTTCAGAGAGTACAGACAATGTAATAGGGCTGATAGTGTATGTAGCAAATGATAGTGGGGCATCCTTGGATGTTGTCCTCTTGGAGAAGACTACAACAGATGGTCACAAGCAGGTTAACAATACACAGTGAACAACTAGAGAACTGGTAAAATTTTGAGCATTTTTATTCCTCTTTATCCTTTACTCTCATTCTTTGCGTCTATTTCCTCCTCTGCCTGTCTTACCACTTTTAATTTTCTCTTTATCTCTTGATTTCTCTTTCTTTGCTTTCTCATCTATATGCCATAGGAAATTTTATTTAAAAAAAAACAACTAACTAGGTTTTTTTCTTTTCATGTCTTAGTGCTTACTTTGAATGGGAAAATAAAAGAAGTAGGAGAGAAGATACTTGCCAGCAATGGGAAGGAAGCTGATTTTGCATCTGCACTAAAATCCTGTGAAGCAGCTGGAGGAACTCTTGCAACTCCAGTGAATGAGGATGAGAATAAAGCTGTTTTGAGTATTGTGAAACAGTATAACCGATATGCTTACTTGGGCATTAAAGAGGGTGAGACTTCAGGTCAATTTAATTATATAAATGGCACACCTCTGAATTATACCAAGTGGCACCAACATGAGCCTAATGGCAAAGGGACAGAAAAATGTGTGGAGATGTACACTGATGGGAGCTGGAATGATAAAAAATGCAACCTGTATCGCCTCACAATCTGTGAATTTTGAAGAACGGCATTTCAGCCACCTGAGTATGGAAACAACAAAATATCCTGTGTCTCACATTTATGCAATTTCTGCAATCAGTCTATGTCAGAAAATCTAAAATTAATCATACTACAGTAATCTTTATCCTCAAGAAAATGCCAAATGTGGTAGGTGATTAACTTAAATAAAGTGTGCCTAATCTGATGTGTTTCTCTCTTTTGTGAGATTGGGAATAGTTCAGAATTCATTTTTCATGGCAGTCTCTGTACACTATGTCTTTGTGAAGATTAGAGGAAAATTTTAAGGTTAGACTCGAGTTATTGGAAAAGCCTGAAGTTAAAGTTGTCTGTGGATTCATAGTGGAAGCATTTCCAAGTATTTAATAGTTTCTGACTTAAAAGAGATGCACAGAATTTGACTTCACTGGAGCAATTAGGGTCTCAGGTTTTGTATGTCTCTGTTCTAGGGCTTGTATTGTGTGATATTGAGGCATGCACTGATTCATTCAGCATTCTGTAAATAAATACAAAACTATAAAATATAAAAAT